CCGTCTCCCGCAAGGGCTCAAATGCCGAGCCCCAAGTCTTCAGCAACGTCATCTGCGAGCCGACCGTCGCCGGCCCCGTGACGAAGCTCAAGTCGCGCTTCCCGGCGGAGAGGATCGAGTCCACCGTCGTGCCGCAGGAGACGGACACGGAGACGAAGCTGGCCATTTTCCAGCACGGCGTCAAGACGGACCTGGCGCTGCTGCCGCCGTCGTGGTACGAGAAGGCGCTGGGGCTCAAGGAGATGACGGCGTCGGTGGCGGCGCCCATGCCCTGCAAGATTCTGAAGAATGAGGTTGTCGAGGGGCAGAGCGTCAAGAAGGGCGAGCCGCTGGTTGTGTAAGTTTTCTCATCTTTTCCTGTTTTACCCTGCTTTCGTTTTTTTTTTTCCTTTGCCAATCCTTTTGTGGGGGAATATTTCTTGCTAACGATGAGCCCTTTCTTCCGTATAGCATCGAGTCGATGAAGATGGAGACCGTTATCCGGTCACCACAGGACGGCGTCATCAAGAAGCTCGCTCATAAAGAAGGAGTAAGTCCAAATCCCCCCTACGATGATGTTTTTCCCTCCTATACATCTTACGCCTCACTCTTGTACAAGATTCCAGCTAATCAAAAAAACTTTTTTTCAAATTTCAGGATATTTGCAAAGCGGGAACTGTGCTTGTCTTGTTCGAAGAAGATGCCAGCAAACAAGAGTCATCGTAAAAGAAAAGAATCGCATGGATCTGGAGGGGCGTTTTGTTTTTTTAATTTCACGGGAGGTTATATGAATGCATGTATATTCTGTAATTTTGGAAGGGAGAGCGACATGATAGTTCGTCACTTGAATCAATCATCTTGAAGTAGCGTGAATATGAAAGATGAAATGTGAAAACCAACTTCTTTTGTCTCTGCAACCTCTTTTCGCTTCTTCTCGTATCGGGTTCTTTACCACGACGCCTCACCAATTTTGTCCTTTTTTTTTCCCCCTTTCCCTCTTTTTCTTCTCACATAAAACGCCGTAAAGCCCCAATTCAAAAGAGCCCGTGCCAAACTCCAGATAGCAAGGTATCTCGTCGTAATATCGTCATGACGGTCATTTTGCGGCTCGCTTCAAGCCCGGACACATGAAAGCTATCCGTTCGCAAAGCGGTACCTCGAACAGCCATAGATCAGCCCCAAGACCTAGCAAGCTCAGAATATGGCATTCGAAAGAAGCAAATTTCGCTGGAGCAGCCCAACTCCCCAAAGGGCCACAGGCAAAATGTCATTTTGTCTGCATTTCCGCGTACGTCTCAGGCAAATGTCTGCTCATCCGCGACTGCTTGGCCGCTTCCCGAATTCGCTTCCACCATTCCTTGGCCCGACGCGGCCAGCTGGGGTCTGTAGGTGGAACATAAGAGTAGTAGTTGTGAAGAAGGTCCTGCGTCGAAAGGGTTATCAGTAAGCGAGATGACCGGGAGGTACTCCGTAGACGAAATTGATATATTCCCCCCCTTTGGCCTCCCTCACCACCAGTTCCAAATCCACAACCACCGTCGGTTCAATCATGAATAATTTGAAACAGGGGGGAGGGGGGGAGGAATCCAAGCTCACCTCTTCTTTCGCCAATGTGATGAAACCCAGCACAAACGCTACCCACGCCAGCGTCCCCTTGGTGTTGAGAAATTGGTTCCCGCCTCGAAACTCAATCGTCCCCGTGCACCGTCTTCTCTTTCGCTTCGGATAGATGTTCTGAAAGTTCCACAGAACGTAGCGGTTGCCCTGCATGTAGTGGCACAAGTCTGCCTTTCTGCTTATGGACCGAATCTCGGCAGCCACCTTGTGTAGCGCGTCTATGCTCTTTTCCAAGCCCAACGTCTTGTTGAGCCCGGACTCGAGGCTCTGGCTGTTCAAC